GGAGTTTCTAGAACCATGCCACCACCAAGAATCATGCTGCTGGCTGTTCATAAGCACCATTTAATTTTATGAGGACAGGGTCTCTTAAAAGAGCCATCATGGGGTTTTTGCCACTAATGCTGAGTCAGGAAGCCTTTCTTAAAGGAGCTGTGCCTCTGCTTGCCACCAGCAAACAGAACCTACCTGAGCAATGATGGTTACCAAGAAGCTGCACTTGACTCTGTTCTTGTCTATCTAGAATCCTTTTATTTAAAAGCTTTCTCAGGCTTTCTGTGGAAATTCTTACCAAATGTTTGAGTGCCATTTGTGGATAGAAGTTTGTGCTCTTCCTGATTCTGTAGCCATTCAGAGTCAGAATTACACAGAGGTAATTCTGTACACAAAAAAATTACACAGAGGTTTATATTAATTATAAACCATTTGGCCTATTAATTAGGCTTATTATTAACTAGCTCTTACAACTTAAATTAACCCATAGCTCTTATCTATGTTTAGCCACGTGGCTTGGTACCTTTTCTCATCTTGTTTCCTTTGCATCTTGTTGGTGACTGACTCTCTGTCTTTCCTCTTCCCAGAATTCTCCTAGTCTGGTGGCCCTTCCTATACTTCCTGCCCGGCTACTAGTCAATCAGTGTTTTATTAAACTAATACGAGTGACAAATCTTTGCAGTGTACAAGAGCATTATCCTGCAACAATTGATCACAGACGTCTTCATATTGACTATCAAGACTAACCATTATGAGGACTTGATGCATTTTAGATGGATTTGAAAAGGTTTTACAGAAACCTGGCAGGAACAATGCCCTTTCCTCAGCCCTGGGCCCTTGCTAAGCACTCTTCCCATGAAGGATTTTGTGCCTTTAACTCAAGGATTTGGCTCTCTGTTTCTTCTCTGCTCTGCTGTCATCTCTGGAAACTCATGGTGGCAGGAACTGAAGCAGAAGGTCATGGGGGAGTGTTTCTTACTGGCTTGCTCCACAGGGCTTGCTCAGCCCACTTTCTCATAGCACCCAGGACTACCAGCCCAGGGGTAGCACTGCCCATAGAGAGCTGTATCTTCCCACATCAATCATCAATCAAAAAAAATGTCTGATCCCAAAGACTTTCCAGTCCATGGTGCATCCATGTAGGTAAGGATGGTGGTGGAGACAGCCACCTGGAGTCAGTTACTTAGCAGCTTTTACCTGCTGGAGGGAATGAGATCCCCGAGACTGTCCACATGGCCCCTTTGCTACTTCCTCACTAATCACAGGGACACACTTGGAATCAGGTATGTCTCAGTCATCTAGCACTGTTCTTTCTCTGTAGTTGTCACTCATCCCCTAACATCCTGGTCAACTGCTCTTATCTAAAATGCAAAAAAAAAAAAAAAAAAAAAAAAACGGTCTGTTTCCATGCTCTAAACTGCTCTTGTTTGTTTTGGCAGTGATACCTGCTACTGGGGAGAACTATGAAGAACCAAAGGAAAGCATAAAGAAAAATCATTTGCCTCAGTTGAACCTTCAGACAGCTATCTAAATGAAAGCAGGAAAATATAATTAACTGTGCTCCTGGAGTTGTGTCCTTTTGCCTGGACTTGCTAAGAAAAACCTTCTCTTGCTCTCAGCCATGTCTGTTCCTGGTGACATCTGTCAGCCAGCGAGTGTAATTGTTGGTAAAAGCACGTCCCTGGTATTTGAGCACCCTACAAGTAGCACAAATATACTTTAACCACCATTCACAGAAACCAGAAACCTGTGTGTCATGCACACCAAATGCTAAGACTGATTAGCCCAAAATTTAATTTTCGTTAATATCAACCCAAGACAAGTAAAGCATGAAATTGCTCTGATATGCTGATATTGTGCTTCCGAGTTCCAACTGTGTCCTGTAGACGCCTGTCGCTGGAGACAGGTGCTACCCTATGTGGAGAAGAACTCCAGCAATCAGCAGGGGCTGGATAGGGAGGCAAGATGATTGGGTCTGCAGACACAGGGCAGCATTCCTACAGCCACAGAAGCTCCAGGGCTGTGGTTTAACAACTCCGAAGGACACTGGATGGTAATTAGAGATAATGATGGAATTATGCACTTATAGACTGAGAGGTGCTTTCTGAGAGCCTGTGGGTCTGGGATTTTAAACCTTACAGCCAACATCCACGGGTCAGGTGCTATTGCCTAACTAAGTCACAGGGCCAATCACAGTCATTTTAGACTCCTGCTTACCCCTAAAGCTAAGAATTATCTGTACATCTTTATGTGGTTGAGGGTGTTATGATGTGAAAATTCTATGAAATTCCAACTTCAGTGTCCAGACATTCTTACTGGGCTGCAGCCATGCCTCTCAACTGGCGCGCCTCGCAGCTGTCCTGCGCTACACAAACAGACCTGGGTTTTTGCAGCACCAGATGGGTAGACTGACAGGTCCTAAATATTCGCTTTCTGCGTCTTCCTAGGGATGTTTACCAACCTCTGAGCTAAGACAACAAAAGTTTTCCAATAAGCTCTCTGGAGGAGGGGCCAGGAGACAAAAGGAGCAGAGGGGTTTGGGGGTGAAGCAGCCACCTTTTGTGTCAGTCACACACAAGGCACTTTTGTTTGAGAAGCCAAACTTGTCCAGGATCTGCACAATAGATTAAAAAGTGCTTGCTCTTTGGTGCTTCCCACTTGGTTTGGGAACGGTGGACTATCGAGTCGCTCCAGGAGAGCCAACATTAGCCCCAAATGCAGCTCAAACAACAACAGGGTATGTGTCTGTGAGCACATGCATTCATGCAACCAAAGGGCAAAGAGCCAGGGGGTGAGCACACAAGGAAACATAACCCCCACAGAAAAGACCCCCATGGCAAGAATTCTCCTGTGGGCAATCTTCCTGTGTGCCTGGCTAACACCCTCTCAGTCATTTTAAGACACATTTGTATATGTTGTTATTGATTACAGCATTTGTGCTATACTTATAATTTTTTTATTAAACCCTGGAATGTTACCCTACCTGGGAAAAGTGTCCTTGTGGACAGGAATAAGTCAAGGCTCTTCAAATGACATATCTTATTGTTGTGAGTATTTTTTTAGGCCATCCCAAGTATCCTAATACAGTGGACGCAGACTGGAAGGCCCACAAAGAAGATATGATGCACAAACCGAAATGGAGGGGCCACATTCGCACACTCAAGACACCAGGGCAGTCACTCTACAGATGGCAGCAAACACATTCTCCTCGGGAATCTACTGCATTTTGTACGGCTAGATCCCAGAACTGAGAATCGATTCTTGATGCATTATACATCAGGATCTATGTTAATTTGTTGTTCCAGTTTCCCAAAATGAACGAAGTTACAGAGGCTTCTAATCTCATATGTTCCCCAACCCCAATCTGATTCTGCTCGTTGCTCTGTTTTGAATACTCTTTTATCACTTAAAAACCCATATCCATGATGCACATACTGGCCCAGGGTCAACTTCAAACTTTCAATACAGCATTCATTAAGTGTGAAGGAGAGAAAACATACTACTACATAGTATTTTTTTTAACTGCGTAATCTATAGTCACGCTGGATATAGTTGGCTACGTATTGATTTTTAGTGTGTGTGTGTGTGAATATGGATATGGAGGTCAGAAGTTAAAGTCAGTTATCTTCCTTAATTGGTCTCCACCTTGTTCTTTTAGACGAGGAGGTTTGTCATTGAACCTGGAGCTCTTGGATGGGCTACTGGCTGGCCAGCAAGCTCCAGAGTTCCCCATATTCTGCATCCCTGGTGCTGGGATTACAGAAGTACACTGCTGTGCCTGACCTGTTATGGGGGTCCTGAGAGTCTGAAGTCTGGTTCCAATGCTTACACAGCAAAGCACTTCATGGACTGAGCCAACTTCCTGACCCATTAACCTTTCTTTTAAATTTGTTTGTATAAACTGACTTTTTTAAAAAAAAAATAATTTTGGTGTTCAATAGCTGGCTTGCCAAAATCCGGAAAATTTAAGAATCAGCTGCCATAAGCTGGTACTTCTTCCCTGAGGTAGATGTCCACCAACTGGCCATTCCCAGTCTTCTCTGTGCCGGCATGGTGTCCTCGCAGTGTGGAACCCGGCTCTCGTCCTCTGAAGCCAGTGCAGTATCAAAGACGAACAGTACACACTCTGCGGTGGGTGGACTCTGCTCAGTTTTCCGAAGGTTTCAGTTGATGATAGTCCAATTCCATGGGAACAGACTTGCCATGACCATATCTTCCCAGAGGAGTTGTGGCTTTTTGTACCGAGATTTGGCTTGGTTTGTTTTTATTTTGTCTAACAGCCCAGCCAGTACAAGCAAGAAAGCACTATGCGAAGTGGTCACAGGAACTTCGGATTTGCTGAAGGGTCCCTGGATCTAAATTTCTGCAAACACATGGGCATGTGGGCTCCTTCCACATTTCCAGCATGCTAGACAGCGGAGCCACACAACTATGAGAACAGTTATAATTTCTGCCCTTTAAAGTCCTTGCAATAATAACCATGCTGATGTAGGCGGATGGCATTTGTGTAATACTTACTCTAAGACTCTTTCCCAAGTGCTTTATGTCGATAACCCAAATTAATCCTGTGGGAAGTACAATGTCATTGTCTTAAACTCACAGATAAGGTAAAGAAAGACTCGGAGAAAATAGGAACCTAAGATTAACGTCATCAAATCTAGTCTCCAAGCCCGCAAAGCCATCCTACAAACCGTCGAGTGCCTCTCTACAATCAGAGGCATTGTCACACGAGCAGCAGAGAAGACAGCCAGCGTTTTGCATGCAAGTTCACTAGGGTCAGAGAAGAAAGTAGCCTTCTGGTTTGTCAGACCCGCGGCTGCTAGGCTGTCGTCCTTACACATGCTCTGCCCATCCCTAACCCACCCCCTTCTGTGTGCTTCCTGATAGCAATCCAAGTCTTGGTATCTAGATTCCATCCTGGAGGAAAATCCTTGGGGCCGGACCCTGAGCTCTGCACACAGAATCACTGATGAGCCGAGGAATCAGTGTCACTGTATGTCTCTCCTCTGTGCTAAGGGGCCCCAGTCATCTTCTCCCAGGTCCATAATTCACAGTTTAATTACAGCAGACATAAGCCGACTCAAATTACGGGATGCCTGTGAATCCCCGGGCAGGATTCCTCGAGGTGTCACAACCAAGGAAAGACAGAAACCGAGACTCCCAAACTGTAGTGTGGCATCCCACATAGGATCCTGGGACAGAAGAGGACTTAAATGGAGAGGGTGGTGAAATAGGAATGTAGGCTGGAGTTTAGCAACTAACAGCAACGTGTTATTATTTGTTTCTTTGAGTTGTTGCAGGTGCCACGATGACACCGATGTTAATGCAAGGAAGAGGGAGGGCTTGGCTGTCAGTAGGGCTGCCTGTGACAGCAAAATTATGACACGGTCATCTGCTTCAGAGAATCTTATGGGAGTCCCTCCTTCCGAATGGTCTCTCAAGAAGCAAAGGGTATGTTTTCTTTTCAACCAGAATAGTCAAACTGTTGGTCAAGGACAGGAACGCTTGATGCCCACAGATGTTGATTGGCAGATTCCACACAAGGTATCCTGGGGGTGACCCACAAGCTCATCTCACCATAGTCCCTGCTGCCTGTCCCCAGGCTAGCAGCAGCACCTGGCTCCCTGAGTCAACAAAGCCAACTGGTCACATTGTGATCTACCCGCTGAAGATCAGAGGGCAAGGGCTGCTTTCTCTCCATGCTCTTAAAGTCTGTCTATCTGGACCTACTTGACCATGGTTTAAGGGCATATTGCAAAGGAGTGTCTCATCTGAGGCCAAGTGTGCCTCATGTGTAAAGTGCGTGTGTGTGTGTGTGTGTGTGTGTGTGTGTGTGTATAAGAGAGAAGAGGGGGGAGAGAAAAGAGGAGAGAGGCAAACAGACAAAAGTGTGGGGTGTGGGGAGTCCTGAATCTGAATGAGGAGGTCATGGGCGAAAGGTCTCAAACAGGCTTCTGGCAAAACCCAGCAGGGAGCAGGGAGGCAGTTTGGAAACCACCAGAGCAGAAAAGCGATGTTGACCCACCTATTGTGTCTGCCCTCTTATTATTGGCAGGTAAGGGAGAGGAAAACCTCCCACAGCAGCCTGGCTAACAGTCTCTGTGGCTCCTGCCTCCCCTGCTCCGAACTGTCAGCGACATTTGCACACTGAACTCAGGTTTTACTTCAGCTGCCTTCCCGAACCCCATCTTTCCCCACTGGGCTTTAACCCTTCCCTCACTTCTTCTCACGTTCTTACACAACTGACTGCTCTCTTTCCAAAATGCAATCAGTCACTGGATGCTTCGGCTCTGCCTGTGTCCTTGGTGGCAGCCCCAAAGCAGAGACACTAGGTGCTGGACCTTCAGGGCATCATCTGGGCCTGAGGTGAGCTAGGCCACGTGAAGTGCAACTGTGAGTCAGTCCAGAGCCAGGGGACAGGCAAAGCACCCACACCCATTCCTTAGGGCAAAGTTTTCTCCTAAAATTAGCTCATTTGGAGAAAGTGGAGTTTGAAGAGAATATCAAAGAAAGTCCAGTCAGGACATGGAATTCTACGAGATTATCTGATGTGAGTGGTTTTTTTTCACCAGGAATCAGAGAATTGCAAGACAAAGAGGATGCTGAAGCCGCCTGGAGACCGGGAGCAGGAAGCACTGTCTCAGCCAGAGAATCGATGAACAGAAGGGAGGCCCTCAGACATGGAGCCATGCGTGAGGAAGGATGCTCACAGCTGGGGCGGCTGCTGAGACTGCTGTGAGTGTGGGGAAAATAAAACCAGAGCAACTTGCTCTATTGAAACCATCCCTGCTCCGGTAAAGTGGCATGGTTTCAGTGACAGAGGGTCGGGGTGTGGAGGGATGGGGTGAAGGGTGGCTGGGATAATGGCTGGTGGTGACCAGAGGAAGAAACACACAGGAAGAAACACATACCCTCCTCCTGCTTCCATAGTAGCTAGAGCCCGCTATGATTCCAGCTGGCAAAGGAGGAATGGAAAAAGCCGGGTACGAAAGGGTGTGAGACCAGGAATGATGGGATGTGCCTGTCATCCCAGAACTCAGGAAATGGAGGCAGAAATACTTGTGAGCCAATCTGAGCTGCCTAGCAAGGCTGAGGCTAGAACAGGGTATAGAGTGAGCCCTGTCTGAGAGAAAAATAAGGTTAAAACTAAAACAATAACTTGTGAACCAGAAGTTTATGGCACTGCGAGGGGCAATGAAAACAGAAGAGAAAAAGGAATAAACTTACAGTTCACTAAGTGATTGTTGCAGCAATATATTAGAACATGTATAGCCATATGTAAATAATGTGCGTGTGCGTGTGTAAAATACTAGCTTCTGATTTCTAATAACATCTAATATTTATTAAGACAAATGACCCAATTCAACCCTCATGAGGACCCAAGGAGGAAGACACTCAGAGAATCTTCTTTTCACATCTGAGTAGTAAGCTCTGCAGATGTTGAGGAGGGTGCTTGTGATGCTCAGAGTAGGAGACCCAAGAGCAGGCCCCACAGAGGCTCATGCATGGTCCCAGCACCCCCTCTTATCTGCTAAGCACCACAGCTACAGAGTCCGCTCTCCCTTTCCACATGCCCATAACACAGTCCCGGAGACCTTTGGGTTCCTCTCTGCTGTCCTCCCTCATGCAGCAGGTCTAGGATAGCTCTAGGCCTGGTTCATCAAAACAGGACGGAGCTGCACCGCATTCAACACCACAACCTCAAAGGGAGCACAGAGCAAAGGGCTTACGAACCAGTACAGAGGGACACTCTACACAGCCAGTATGGCTGTGCTGCAGAGAGAGGCGATAACCTGGACAGATGCCAACAGTGAGCATCTCTAGGGGTCCGTGCGCTGGGCACTGCACCCAGGTCTGCTGTGTCTTTCACATATTTCACTGTCGTACCAACCCGACATTGTGGGTCTCATCCACTTGACAGAGGAGGATTCCAAGGCACCAGAGATGCTGTGTAACTCCAGGTCACAGAGCTGCTCACTGACAGGGTCACATCCAGCACAGAGTCCCGGGGCCCAGAGCATGTGCCAACTACCACACCACCTCACTCCAGGAGAGGGAGAAAACCCTCACGGCATCCCATTCAGCCATTAGGAAAGCAGTTTATGAAATAATGTATAAATCATACCTAGTGCACCCAGTGTGGATACATATATATGTACGTGTGTGTGTGTGTGTGTGTGTGTGTGTGTGTGTGTACGCATCCATCAGTCCTTGCAGCAAAGTAAGGGAGGGCTTAAAATACTAATAAAGGTTAGCTCAGCCAGGTGCGTTGATATTAAGTAACTGTATGGCTTTCTACACCAAGTCTCTGTAATGACAGTTTAAAGATTTTTGAAGAAACAAGTCTTCTTGAGAAAACAGTCTGGTGCTTGGAATAACTCCGTAATATTTGGGATGAAAAATAGAGAAAACGTGTCCCCAGTAGGCATGCACACCGGAAATGAGACTCAGAAGTGTGAGCTTCACCTGAGCGAGACAATGAGCTGCCCTGACAGCCACCGCACACACAGATAAACCAGGAGCCACCGCCTACACCGTGTGGTCTGCCTGCTCTTTCTCCACACATGAAGAAGGGTTTTCAGATCCACTGGATGGGAACGCGACCATTGTACTTTGAAAGCCAAGCCTTCTAATTCTAATCAAGACAGCTGGGTCCCTCTGAACACCGGCATCCGTGCACGGCTGGCGTTGTCTGCTAGCTGGATGTTATCCTCTGCATCGGGAATATTCTCCGATTTCCCCCCAAGCAATGTGTTGCCTTGGAAACATCATGATCCTTTCAGAGATCTAAGCAAAGAGAAATCATAAAAATAATAAAAATCTCACACTTAAAAGTCTAGTTTCTGTGTCACCAAGGTATTTCGCTAACCTCTTCCTCTGGATAAAAGGGCAGGCGGGCAGAGTGGCTTATTCTGTGAGTCACCCAGACAATTACTAATTAGAGGAAACACACTGTTCTCTGTTCTCTGGGTAATTCAGGTCAGAGTAGAATGAAGCAGACTACAGAGGCCAGCACCTCTGCCAACAGATTCAGCCCCGCACCTAACACTAAGACGAAGGAGACCGTTCCTCACAAGAAGGCACGAAGCTGCTTGCCGTGACCACGCCAACTCACACAGAAGAAAAGGAGCCCAGGGATGTTCCGTCCGAGCGACAGAATGCAACCTTGTTTTGCAAAGTGCCAGACATTTGCAGGCTGTTTGGCTTTGCCGGAAACACTCTGCTCTGCCACAGATGATACGTAAGGAGTGACCGAGACCATATTCTGATAAAAACTTTGTTTGCAGAAACAGACAATGCCAAGTTTGACCCATGGGCAATTATTTGCTGGACTTTCTCTAGAGTGTCAGCTGGGCATTCCCAGGGCATGCCTGTAATACTTCGGGATGACCCTGAGGAAAACTGGCAGATTGGCAAAGCTGTCCTCATTGGCTTCTTCCCGTAAAGGCAGTGTGTCCAGTAAGCCTGGCTCTGGCCTGAGCACTAAGTGAAGCCCCTGGAGTTTATACTGGAGAGAGGAGGGAATAGGAAGCAAGGAAAGAACAATTTTTAGTAAAGATATGCGACATAAAGATGATTAATAATAATAGATTAATGGGGTGAGGGGAGACAGTTTGTCTAGCATGGTCAGGGACCACGCCTATGCAAACTACCCATTCACGTGAGAGTGGAGGGAAGTTGCTGTGAACATGGATATTTAGGCAAAGAGTGGGCTATCAGGCGTCCAGAACCCAAATGCAGAGCCTCAGGCAGGGACAGGTTGAATACCTCTGCAGAACAGCAAAACCAGTCGAGCAGGAGTGAAGAGCATAGCAAACAAGGGGATGTGGTCAAGGGCTACTGCTGGTGGGACCTTCCAGGCCATATGACATCTCGTTGACCTCACCTGGCTCCCACAGGACCCTCACCTGTGACACTCAGAGACTCTGGTCCTTGCTGGACAGTTTCTGCATTAGGTGTGGCTAGTCTGGGGGTAGGCAATTATCAGGACATATTCTGTCAAGTAAATACAAGAGCTTTCTCTCCAGGCAGTTGAAGATGGATTTAAGTAAAATCAATTGATTCCCAGGGTAAGGTTTGAGGCTCCTACCAAGTGTTAGCTTATTGTCTCCCTTGATGAAAATCGATGTTGAGACCCAGAGGAAACCAGCTGCCTGGTTCAGGGTCATAATCACAGAACGAAAAAAAGAAAGCAAGAGCTGCCATCTCCTTCAGTTTCTACTTTCACTGCTAAAAGCAATGATCTTCAAAGTAGAAATCAGAGAAGATGCAGGGGAAGGAGACCCCAAGGTAAGATGGTTTAGGCTATGTAAATGAGAACACCAGGTCGGGTCCACACGGTTGGTCAGTAACCACAGGCAGAGAGCACATCTCCAGCATCCACATCAGAACTCTGAGAACAGAAGGCGATGCTATTATTCCAAAAACCACCACCAACACGTTGAGCACCAGTCTCTGGAGAAGTCAAAAAGTGCTGGGCGATTGTTTTTATTATTATTATCCAATATTTATTTATTTATTTATTTGTACAATATTCTGTCTCTGTGCATGTCTGCAGGCCAGAAGAGGGCACCAGACCTCTTTACAGATGGTTGTGAGCCACCATGTGGTTGCCGGGAATTGAACTCAGGACCTTTGGTAGAGCAGGCAATGCTCTTAACCACTGAGCCATCTCTCCAGCCCCTGGGCCATTGTTTTTAAATCCCATTTAATGAGCAATAGGGAAGAGGCGCTCACAGCAACCACTGTGGCTCATGTAGACAAGACTCACAAGGTTGTTATCCTACAGCCCTTCAGAAGAGGTCATATTCAGCAGCAGACTAACCCAGTGTTGAACTTGAGCACCCGGTTACCCACTGCACGAGGCAGGCACCGTATCTGCCTTCATTAGGGCAGGAAGAATCCTTAGGAACACGCCACTGGCCCGCTCCTTGATCGTGCACAATCTATCATTCCCTTGTCTTCACCAGTGAGTCAGATGGAGATTTGAGAGACGTCTCCATCCAATTCTGCCTTGTGTGATGAAGTCCTAATTTGTCTAGAACAAATGGATAAGTCAATATTCACTGTTTCAAAAGTTAACTCTGAAAGCATAAGTGCTTAAAAACCTTTGGACTGCCCTGTGATGGGTAAGGGAGTGGACCCTCCCCTTTACCAGCTGCAGCCCTCAGAAAAGTGGGCCCTGCATCTCATCTGGGGAACGCAGCAGAGCTGACCCTATTGGCAGGATTGAGGGTGAACTGGCCTGAGAACAGGAGCATGGAAGATCTGGCCCCACCCATCATCTGCCATTTGGTAGTGTGGGCAGGGGGAGAGATGCCCTCCACCCCCTCGCCACCTGCAGCGGGTTGGAATGCTGGCCCTGAAGTTAAAAGTGCAGGAGAGCTATCCCTGCCCCTCACCAGCTGCAGTGCTCGGGAGAGTGGTTCTTGTACCTTGCCTGGGCAACACAGTAGAGCCGGCCCTGATAGTCCAGGTGTGGGAAAGCCAACCTTGAGTGTGTGAAAGCAGGGGAATTGGCCCCGCCCCTTGCTCATCTCTGCCAGGGGTGTAAACTAGCAGGGGCAATGCTGGAGAATACGCTGAGATGGTGAGGACAGGGTAGAACAGGTGGGTTGACCAACCCTGCAACTACCCAGGCCCAGAACCAGGGTTATGAGTTGGTCTACCTGAACATCCACCCCACCCATGATCTGTAGGAGCATGTCACGCTGTAGCTTCCATGAGGAGATTTTTTTTTCCTCACACCCCCTTTTCTTCTCTTAAATTTTATTTGATTTCGGGGGGAGGATGGCAAGGGCAGAGGGTAGATACAAAGGGACGGGGAAATGAGTGGAATCGAGATGTCTGATGCGAAAGCCACAAAAAAAACAATAAAAAGAAAGTTAAAAAGTAGTTGGGCTGGTGCATGCTTTCAATCCTAGCACCCTTGAGAGGCAGAGGCAGGTAACTCTCTGAACTGAGAACAGCCCAGTCTCCAGAATGAGTTGCAAGCTGGCTAGGGATACGTAGTGAGGCCCTGTTACAAAAATAAACAAATACTCAATTGACCGCAGATGTTGATCTGTTTTACAACTCAGGCAAAGCGAATCAGACAGCACATATCCAAGGATGTGAGATTTCAAGAAATGGTTGTCTGTCCAGCCCTGGAACTTTAGGGAAATTTGAGATTTGATCAAAGTCGCCTTGAGGAAGGGCAGGTAAAGCTGAACAGTTGAGTCAACACAGGAGCCCTGTCCCATCTTTGTCATGCGAAGAGAGCAGCAGCTAACACCTCTACCACCCCACCCATCACTGACCTGCCCCCAGGGAAATTCTTTTCTGAAGAAACCGAACAGCTCCAAACAAAAGACTCGTAGTGAAAGCTGGGTTTCCCCAAACAGCAGCCTCCTCACCAGCTGCCCACGACCAAGACCTGCCACAAGACAAACCATGGAGACACAGAAAACCATCCATCCAAATTGTAGCACCTTCTTAGATGTGAAAACTCTTTGAAAAGAGTCAATGTGAACAGAGGTGGCTGTCAACCAACAGAAAGAGCTAAAGTGGCACTGGACCAACGGAAAGGAAGGTGCAGGAAACAAATACCACGAAGGAGGCAAAGACGTGGATGGAAAAGCACACCTAGCAACTGTTCCTCTTCAAAGAATAATATTGCAACCAGGCATACACTTCTAATCCCAGCAAAGGCAGGCAGATTTCCTTTAGTTCAAGGCCAACCTCCCAACCACAGTGAGGTTTTGTCTCACACAACCAGTCAAACAAGCAAAAAAGCAGCTAATGCATGCCCAAAGGAGCAGAAGACTGTAGAAAAGGCTAAGAGGGAGAAAGATGTTTGAATCAAAAATAGGACGGCCTATATAAACAGAGAGTTAGGGAATAAAGTTGGAAAAGTCTAAGAAGAAGAGAAAGGACTAGAAATATGAGGATAAAGCAGAAGACTCAGCGAGGACTGAGGAGGAGGAGTAGGTGCTGAAGAGGAGGGGCGGGAGCAGGATGGACAAGGCACTGAAGGAATGGACCACTGGGATGAAGGAGCCACAGGGACCTCTCACTGGGATAACAAAAGATCCCACCAAGACCTTGAAACCATGTATTCAAAGCCAACCCCTAAAAAGCCTGGGAGGAAACTACGTATAAACCAAGCTCAGATGGGCAGACTCTCTCGAGGACAAAGCTGTATCTTGGGACATTGTTTCTCAAATATCAATCCCAAGATATGGCCAAGGACCAGCCTTGGCTCTCAGTCTGCCAGAGAGTGCTTCAAAACAATACAGACTAAAGAGCAACAACAAAGAATTACAAAAATAAGCTCCTAGAAGATGCATGAATTAAAAGCCCGCAGTTTTACTATCAGTCTCAATAGACAGAAAGGGACTCCATCAAATTAACATAAACATTCGAACATTTCTCTTCTGTGCTCCCCACAGCAGGTGGGTGGCATCCAGCTTACAGAGTGAGCCTGGGCCAGGGCCACACTGAGCAGCACGTGGTAGCAGAAACACCTTTAAGGACACTTTCAAGATTTTAATTCTCTGCCCACAACTCTGGAATCAAGTTATGGTTTGAATCGATCAGAGTAGAAGGAAAGCATGCTGAGTCTTGAAGTAATGTAAGCCAAATATCTTCTTAACTCTTCTCTCAGGAAGCAACTCGGGGATGTTCCAGCACAAGGGGTAAAATCCAAAGTCGAGGTCAGGCATAGGGCAAAAGAGGTGTATGGGGGGGGGGGGGAGTTCAGCTGCCTGGCTCTTCAGCTTCTCTCCAAAGCCACAAGAGTAACCCTGTGCTGG